CTGACTTGAGCGTTAAACACTCTAACCCGAGAGAATTGGTGAGAGTGAGAAATAATCTGACAGGTGAAGCAGTGTTTCCAAATAAAGTGTTTTTGGCATGCTGGGTATGAAGAGTATACAGAAAAATTCAAGGTAATATACCAAAGGGCCCAGTACGAAACATTTCAGAAGTATTGTGGTAAGTCATGTTTTTACAGTAAGTTTTTGGCGCCATTGCCGGGGACTCCCGAAATATAAGTGAGTTGTGATTTAATTGAAATTTTGTCGCTCTGCGACCAAAATTATATTTTCAGTTTTTTTTAGTTTATTTTATTAATTTTTGCATTTAGTTATTACTAATCTGCGTGTAACATTTTATGCGAGGAGAATCCTTAGCTAATTTTTCTTTTGACGCAGAGATAGAAAGAACTCTACACGCGAGGCATAAACAAGCAAGACTGGCAGGTTCAGACTCAGATACTGAAACTATGGGTAAAGTTCCACCAGCAAAGAGACTACTTTGTGCAACCGCTAGTGACTAACAAGCCATAAAGACACACATTCTATGTCTTCTCAAGGATTTTGACCTAACTAGTCACTTAAGGAAATACAAACAACAGTTTGATTACAACTACACTAGCAACCGTTGGTGACTAACAAACCACAAAGACACACAATCTATGTCTTCTCAAGGATTCTGACGTAAATGGTTCCTTAAGGAAATACAAACAATAGTTTGATTACAACTGCACTAGCAATCATTGGTGACTAACAAACCACAGAGACACACAGTCTATGTATTCTCAAGGATTCTGACCTAACTGGTCCCTTAAGGAAATACAAACAACAATTTGATTACAAAGTTATGTTTAAAAAGATTGATTCTACACAAGCAGGTATAAACAGGTTAAAAGCACAATACACTTAAAGAAAATTCTACACAAATTTAGACAATAGTCTTGTAAATTACTTGCATGCCTCTATTTTTCTTCAAGTCTTTATTTAGCCAATGAAAAAGATCTGTTGAAGGGTATATCTAGTATTCTTCATGGATGAGTTGACGACTTGAGTAACAGTTTGATACGGAGGGGACAAGAATCGTACTACCTCAATTTCTTTATTCCATGAAATTCGCTTAGTGGAAGGAATATTGGTTTGTACCATGTACTATTTTTCCCACGTATAAACTCATTCTTATCTTATATTCTTCAATAACTTATGGATAAATCATTGTTTGAAGTATGATTTAGAAGAGTTGATTTTGCTTGAGTTTATAAACTTCAATCATCAATCAAAAGCTTGATCACATCAATATCTCACTTGAGATTATTTAGAGTTTTTAGAACCTTCAGCGTTTAATCTTCCGAAGCTTAAGTTTAGAAACTTCAACCATCGATCAGAAGCTTGATCACATCAATATCTAACTTGAGATTCTTCAGAGTTTTTAGAACCTTAAGCGTTTAATCTTCGAAAGCTTGAGCAGTCTTCAGAAGTGAATTGATCAGAGTCACACGTCAGAAGCAAGAGCCAATAGAACGTTGCAGCAACAACATACAATTTTCTTAGAAGCTTCTCATCTGTGAGTTTGAGCATAAGCGATTTAGATCAAATATTTAGAAACTTGTAACATTTCACGTTTAAGAGTCAAAATCAAGGTTGTTTGCTAAAGATACATAATAACAAACCATTAGGGTACCAAAGTTATTCTCACATAAATACTGATTTGTTATCATCAAAACCTAGAGATACAGATGCATAACCAAATATTGTTCTAAAACACTTGCTAAGTGATGTATGGCGTAGACTCTGAAGCTGAAGCTCTCAACATCAGAAGAAGCAACGTAATTATTTCTACACTTAGTGAATGCAATTTGGCTTATGGTACCATTAAGTGTTAGTGATAAAGCTGAAGTTGTTTGTATTGCAGAAAGCAAGCTATATTGTCAAATCAGTTTGCCAACTAGAGTCCACAAATTGTAATGCTCAAGAAAGGTTGATATACTTTATGAATATCTACTCTCAACGACTCTAATAATACAGAATCTCTCAAGGACTCAAAGGTTAAACATGTTACACATTGAATCAAGATCTTCGGGTGTATCTATCTTCAACGGCTCCTGTACTATGAAGTAACATGAAATACTCTTGATCAAGTTACCTATTTAATGGCTAGTTTCTAAAAAGGATATAAATATGGTTGAAGATTCAAACTAAATCTTTAACAAGGATCAACCTGAAGAAGGAGTAACAAGATCAACAATTATCAACTCAATTGTATATGCAAATTTTCTGTTATAGGTTGTAATTGTAAAAACCTTAAAATTTCTTACACATTGAATTTCTTAGAAATCTTAAGTGCTTTAGGTCTTTGTTATGGTGATTTCCTATACCTCTGATACTTGTATCATGTACACCCTGTTCTCTATTTTGCTGAACTTATGTAGCAGTTTAGATAGAAGTCTCTATCATTACGATACAAGCAAGGGAGTCCCGAGCCAAGATGCTTGAGCCACGTAAGTCTCTTGCTATGTGCTTGAGCTATGAAAGTCTTAATCAAGTAGATTGATTGAGCAGGAAGTCTTATGTCATTTAGATACAAGCAAGAAAGTCTCGAGCCAATATGGTTGAGCTACATAATCTATTGCTATGTGCTTGAGTAGTGAAAGTCTTAATCAAGTGGATTGATTGAGCAGGAAGTCTTGAGCCAGTGTGCATTAAGCAGGTTGGCTTGGTACATGAAATTGGAGCAGTAAGTCTTGAATCTGAGGGGAACAAGCAAAGAGGCTCGTTTCATGGGACTAGAAGCAAAATTCTTGGGTCTGAGAGGCTTGAGCATAAGTATTGGGCTGAGGGTCTGAGCAAGAAAGTCTTGAGTTCGCGGAATCTGAGCAAGAACTCTCGAGTGAGGAGCTCGAGCAGAAGTCTTGGACTTTGGGTTTGAGTTTTTGTAAAAGTCTTATGCAAAACGCATAAGCGATTGTAATCATGTTTTGATTATAGTCAAAATCTATTGTGAAACAAGGGGACTTTACTACTCTTTGTTCGGGAGGAACCAATATAAATCTTTGTGTCTTATGCTATTATTTATTTGCTTTTATTAATATTCTGCTGCTAAGAATTAACCAGAATTTGAACACCAGTTTAGATTCTGAATTCTGATCAGATGCAAACTTAGAAAATAAAAAACATAATTCAACCCTCTTCTTGTGTATTTTCTCACCTTTAGAGATAAACTTTCTGTATGGTAATCTAGATGAAACAATCTTGATGAGGCAACTTGAAGGGTATGCAGAAAAGGGAAATGAAAATTATGTGTGCAAGATAAATATGTCTTTGTATGGCCTGAAATAATCTCCTCGATAATGGAATAGAAGATTCAACAAGTTCATGACATAAATTGGTTTCACTAAGAGCCAGTTCGACCATTGTGTTTACTTCAGATTTCGACTTAGAAATTCACTTGTTATTTTGTTGCTTTATATGGATGGCATCCTCGTAGCAAGCAACAATGTCGAAGATGTTATGAAGGTGAAAGCTGAACTCGACAAGGAGTTCAACATGAAGGATTTGGGGTGGCCTCCAGAATTTATGGGATTGACACCCGGAGAGATAAAAAGAAATCGAGATTATACTTATCTCAAGAAACACACCTCAAGAGATAACAAGTTTAGTATGTCAAATTCAAAGTCTATTATAACACTGACTAATCCTCAGTACAAGCTAAGTACGACTTAAAGTCTTAATGCTGAAGTTGAAAGAGCCTGTATGAATAACATTCCATATGTTAATATAATAAGTTCTTTGATGTATGCTATGGTCTGTACGAGACTAGACATAACATACAAAGTGAGCCTTATAAGCATGTATATGACCAATCTTGAGAAGGCGCACTGACAAACATTAAAGTGGATTCTTAGGTACATAAATGAGTCTTTGAGCCGAGTCCTAATTTATGGTGGAACTTGTGGTGATGATAACAAAGTCGAAATCAAAGGATTTGTCGACTTTCATTATGCATGTTGTATGGATTCCAGAAAATCTATTTCTGAATATGTGTTCACTATGTTTGACACATCAATCAGTTATAAAGCAACACTTCAGAAGGTTGTTGCCTTATCAACTATTAAACCAGAGTATATCGCCCTCGCTGAAGTTGTGAAAGAAACATTGTGACTTAAAGGTTTTGCTAAGGAGCTGAAACTTCAAGGTCGAGTTATCCTTGTTAAATGTGATAGTGAAAGTGCAATACACTTGTCGAAGAATTCAACCTATCATGAACGAACCAAACACATCGATACGAGGCTGCAATTCGTCAGAGAGATAATCGAGCGTGAAGAAGTCCAAGTGCTGAAGGTTTCGACTGATGACAATGTTGCTGATATGATCACCAAGATGTTGTCAAGTAGCAAGTTTATCCATTGTATGCAGTTGATAAATTTGCACGATTAAAACAAGTTTTTTCCCTTGTTAGTATATAGTTTGCCCCAAGGTGGAGATTTGTGGTATTTTGATCGAACTCTAATATTGACAATGGTAACTTCATGCTTCGGCAGGAGTTGAACATGCCGTAGTCGAAGTCTAATCAAACATGCTGTCGAAATATGTTAATTTTGTGTTTAAGTTAGTAAGTCGAATTAAGTCTTGCTTCTAAATCTAACTGTTAAATTATCTTATAGTCTAAGTTAATTTAATAGTCTATAAATGTCGTAATAATATTTTTTTTGATCATGCCTCATTTTCCATCCTTTTATTAGTAAAAAATATCGTAATAATTTGGTTTTTTTTAATAATACTTATTATTTTAATAGTATAACATAACTTTTAATTGTATATTTTAAATTTCCCAATGTAATTTTTTTGCCACTGAGTCCAGGTTTAGGTCTATGTTCAGCAATTGGTCAGTCTAAAACGAAATAAAATTGAATTGAAAACTATAAACCATTTTGGGAGGGAAAGATCAAAAGACGAAAAAACGACCCATCGCCGTCGTCACCAATTCACCATCACCACAGTGACCGAAAATGGCGAAAGCAAACCTATCTAGTTTAGTACACGAACTTCGAGAACGCATAGCAGCATCTTCTTCCTCTTCTCCCTCTCCAAACAACCCTGCCGACGACGACGTTTTGGAGCTCAGGTTCCGTACCGTACTCCCCAATCTCCTTCACGCTTACGTTCCCCCTTCTTCCTCCGGTAACCTAATCTTCTCTTCACCATTAATCAATCTCATTAATTAATAATCATCTTAGTTAACAACAATAATCTCCTTAATTTGCAGGTAACGATAGAGAAGTTATTGCCGTAGTGAAACTCATCTCTCGCACGGCAATAAACTTCCCCGGAGTGTTTTATCACGGCAAGGCCACCGCTATTTTACCTATCATTGCTCGTTTACTACCGTTTTTCGCTGATCCTATTTTTAGGTATCTTTTTTTGTTCCTTTGTTTTTTAAAAAGCTTTTCTGTCTATTCTCTTTCTCATTTCGGTTATTTCTTTCTTTCAGATCTCGTCATGATGTCTTCTTTGAAGCTATCGGTTCTCTTTTATCTTTACTTCGTTCCGGTGCGCGAGATTCTTATAGACAGTTCTTCGTTGATTCCATGTTTCTCATTCAAGGTACTAACTAGTATAATTATGCATGAACTTATTCTATATTTTTAGAGTCTCTTTGTATAGCCTTATTTGAGTTTATTGACTCACATTAACTTTTGCATTGGAGTGGTAGGAAGAACTTATGGAACATCTTATTACATATTCAAAAGTTGTTTTTAACTTATTTAAATAAGTTCTATGAGATAGCTTATGAAAACTATTGTGTTTGGTTCTGCGGCAAAGAAAATTGATTTTGATTTGATTCAGTAAAACTGATTCTGGTTAAAAGTGAGTTGAAAGGAAAGTGATTTATGTTTGGATAAATTCCTGCAAAACTGAGTTGAAAGTAAATATTTCAGTGTAAAATCACGTTTAGTATCAAAAGCTAAATACCCTAACTTCAAGTAGAATCAATTTTGAAAAACATAATGATTTCTACCCGAGAACAACAAAACATGTTAAAATCAATTTTATACATCTAGAATTAATTCTAAATGCTCCAAACGTGAAACCAAACATACACTTACAGGTAGGGTCTTGCTGACATTTATGACACTTGTTAAGGAATCAAAAAATAGAAACTTTATCTTGAAAAAAAGTAATTTTGGAAGTTTTTGAGAAATTTGCTCAAAAGAAAATTTTAAGAAATTGAATGCATTTTGACTTTAATTTATTTTTTGTTACAGAAATAACTTATGTTATATGTGAGCTGTTTATCCAAATAGGGTCTTATTTTTGGCAACTAATTTCTGCCTTATTTAAGATGACTTATTTTGGAAACTGGTGTTTCTGTTGGTAACTGTTATGGTTTTGTTCTCATGTTGTTAGATGTTTTACACTTGGCTTCACTTACTGTGAATGGACCCTCTAAGGTGACACTTAAGTGTTTTTCCGAATCCTTCTCTGGAGTTGAAGATCTTCCACTAACCAATAAGCCAGTTGATGGTTGTGGTTTATTGTTAGACCTGAGTACCAAAAGCAGGTGGCAACCTTTTGCAACTTGGATTTTGAAGCTACTTAGTAAATGTCTAACTGAAGGAACACTCTATGTTGAAGGATTGATCCATGCTTCGTTTGTCTCTTCCGCATGCTCTCTTTTATGCTTTGGGGATTCTGATCTGCATATGGTGGGTGATCGTTGATGAAAATTTTACATAGAGTATTTCCACCTTACTGTACTTATATATATTTTTATGGGAAGTGATACCAATTGTCTGACAATTTAAATATTCCTGGAAGGCATGCTTTGACTTTGTGCACGTCATTGCGACGGTGACAAACTATGATATAATTCCTTATGAGAGTATAATCCGCTCAATAATTATCATCTTGGATTTGGACAAGGAGGGGCTTCCTTTTTTCAGGTTTGGACATGTTCTATTTTTTCATGTCATATGAATGGCCTTTTCACAGTAAACTATGGCTAGGCCCCTCTAAAATGTTTTTCTTATAAAAGTCTGCTTCCCTTTTGATTAGATTTTTATTTCTATTACATTATGATTATGATGTTTTAGAAACAAAGTACGTATACAAAACAAAGTAAATATTTTTTCCAAAGTCTTTTAAAAATGTACAACATTAAGTTAAGATGGAGCTCACCTGCAGAAACTTGACTTATGATTTATCGTTGGGAGTTTGCCTCAATACTCTCCACTCTAGCTGTCCAGAAGACATTGTCAGGTTAACAGCTGCTGATTTAGTCGGTGTATTCTTTGGATCACCGGGGAGAACCAAGAGCCAGCAACTTAAGGTTAATATTGACACGCACTTTTTGTTAGAACAGCTTAGTTAACTATAGAGCTATTCATAGAAGTTTTACCCCTGTTTCTACAAGTTTATATATTTGAAGAAGGGAATTGATCAAGAGGACTAATAGTATTCTTTTTTCAGGCTGCACTATGCAGTGCTTATGCTAGAATTGCTCAAGTTTGCTCTCCTCATGTCTGGAAGCCAGAGCATCTCATATCTGCACTCTATCATCCAGAACCATGTTTGCCTATGATAGAGTGCTTTCAAGTAGCTGTATCTACCCTTGGTCCACATCTTGTAGGGGGAATCCAAGGAAACGATAAGAATGGAGCCCTTTTATCGAATGAAAACAAGCCAATTGAAAGGACGGGGCATGGCCAAAAGAGGTCCATTCAGGATATGGATAATTTTAAGATCAAACGCCAAAGATTAAGTAAAGAAATTGATGTTGTAGATGCCAGTATTGAGGTGGAATGTAAATATAATTGTATAGTTACTTGCCAAAGAGTAGAAGATTATGCTAACCACATGAATAAATCTCTTCTATCATTTATTCAATCACTAAATGCTCCTGCTGTTGGACCTGGTTCTTTGAAGCCAGATATTGCTTTATCTGCACTTAGCGTTCTATGCATTGCCTTCTCTATTTATCCAGAAAGCGATATGTCTATTAGAATCTTTGAGCAGATGCTTGCATGGCTTCCTTGGATAACTGAGCAGGTAGGTAGGTAAAAGTTGCAAATCCCTATTACATAATAAATTTATTCTCCAATAAACTAATTTGTCTATCTTTATAGGTGAAACAAGGGAGTTCAATTTCTGTAGATATCTCCACTTATCTAGAAGGAATTCACAGTGTATTGCTTTTGCAAAGTAAGCTTTGGGCTTGACCTTAACTGATTATGTGAATTAACATCTACTTTTTCCTTAGCATAAAAATCTTATACCTATTTCTAGGTGATTACATTATTTTGTGTCTGATTTTCTTTGGTGGCAAGTAAACTATAAGGACTGTTATTTCTCTGATATTTAACTGATATTTCTCGATATATCCTATAATTTACTTTTACTTCATGATTTTGGTGTCTGCTATTTCTTGCTCCTGATCTGTGTCACTTGTGACTTCTTTCAATCAGGCGCCTCTTTCAAAGAGAACAACCCATTGCAAGATGGGAATTACCATGTAGACCTTATGCTTGCCGTGCTTAAACTTCCCTGGACTCATACGCTCCTTGTTATTGATAATCAATTGCCATGGAAAATTAAATGCCTTGCTCTTCAAGTATTATCAAAGTTAGGTCCAAGCTTAAGCAGTGAAGTTGTTCTTGATGTTTTGGATTTGGGTCTTCATGATGAAGCTGAAGAAGTCAGGACTGAAGCAGCTATTTCTTTGCCAGTGATGGTTTTGTGGTCTGGTCTTGATGTATCACCTTCTGTCTTTAAAAGGATGGAGTAAGTATAACGCCTGGATGCTTTTGCATACAGATTTCTATAACATGTTGTCAGACTTGTCTTTTCGTTATTTTGAATTAGGCATATGATTATATTCTTTACAAGTCATTTTCTTTCCTTCGAACTGTTGGATTTATATCCTAGGCTAGATTTTCTGTTACAAAAATCATCACGCATGCACATGAAACTTGCTTTTTGATATTATTTAGTCCAGTTGGATTCAGCTTATGAACTACAAACTTTGAAATGATAAAATCTTTTTCCTTTAAGTGAGTTTCCCTTCCTATTAATTATTTAGTTTACAGTTTTCACTGTTTCAAATTTATGATGCCCTTTATTGTTTAGCAGTTTCTTTTTGTTTTTTCCCCAGTAATGGGTTAGTTCTCTGTAAGTTTCTGGGTTGCATCGAAGTATGTGGAGAAAGTTGTTTCTCTCGAATAAAATGGAGAGACAAGTCTTCTGGTTGTTTTACTTCTCTCTATACAATATGCAGGTACTTAAGAACAGATAAAGAGGTTAAGAAACTTCTTCCCATATCTCTTGGTCTATTGTCATGCCTTTATGGATGCAGACGCGCTGTATCTGGTCTTCCTAAGAACAAGTGCAAGTTATTTCTAAAGGGGAAAGGTGGTGGATCTAGTTGGACAATAGATCATTTACTGCAAGGTTTCAGCTGTTCCAAATGCGATAAAAATTTTATTCGCAATCACAATGAGCAGCATCCTCCCATCATTCCTCGATCTGATATGTGTGGAGTAGATGCACAAGTTAGTTTAGACTGTAATTTCATGCTGCTGCAATCTTTATTTTTTGACCTTCTTTTTGATGAGTCATCAGAGGATGTCCAGATTTCCTGTGTGACAATTATTCATCGCATCCTTGCACACGGTGCCCCTGATATTCTGCTCAATACAAGGCTTGAATGGATAAAGTGTGTAGAATATCTATTGACTAGTAGGAGCAAGGAATTGAGAGATGCATTTTGCAATCATATTAGTTCCTTTATGGATGACCATATTTTGAGTTTAATATTTGCTGGAGATAAAGGCAAAAGCAAGGAGCAAAAATTCTTGGATACAGTTAAACAAGCCATTATAGTCGCCGATGATCCACTTATACTGGAGACTTTAATGGAATCTACAGCAGAAATAATGGTTTCTGTTGATATAGGTAGCAAACTGTTCTTATCTTCTCTGATACTGTTGATTGATCAGCTTGATAGTGTACATGTGACTGTGAGAATGAATGCATCAAGATTAATACACAAATCTTGTCATTTCCATCTTAAAGGAGGTCTTGAACTAATTCTTTCTAAAGATGCTCATATTCGTAATGAACTGTATGATTATCTCTCTGAGAGACTTGCTAGCCGCCCAGATTTAGTGAGGGAATTTGCAGAAGCTGTCTTTGGTGTTGAGACTGAAGAACTTGTCAAGAAAATGATTCCTTCTGTTCTTCCGAAGCTTGTGGTGTCTCAGCAGTATAATAGTCAAGCAGTTGGTACCTTACATGAGTTGGCCAAGTGTGTGAACACTGATATGGTGCTTCTGGTTGTTAATTGGCTGCCAAATGTGCTTGCTTTTGCTCTTCATCAAACAGATGAACAGCAGCTAATTTCTGCTGTGCAGTTTTACCATGAAAATATTGGTTCTGACAAGAAGGAAATATACGAAGCTGCTTTACCGGCTCTTTTAGATGAACTTGTATGCTTTACAGATGCTGGTGATTCAAATGAGATAAGCAAAAGGTAACATGATGATTTCTGAAACTGGATTGCACTTTTTTTTTTCCTGGGTGCACTTTGTTGATCACATTGTGGTTGGCAACTATCTAACCTGGGTACTAATATTTGGAATTCACGTGTTTGTTTCGGAAACAATGTTGCAGTTGCTTCAGATTTAGCTATATTAAGGGTTATATTATATTATTACTATAATTATCATTTGCAATTGTTATTATTTGATTTGCTTGTATTTATTCACTCATCGTTGATTAGCAATTATAGTATCTCTGCATATTGATTTCTTTCTTGATACTCCTATAGCCTTCAATCATAAGCATAAAGGTTTCACATTTTTAGTAACGGAGTTCTAAAAAAAAGTAATGGTAATTAAAAGTGTCACGAGACATACATGGTTTTAATATTATATTTCTGACTAAGAGTACACGAGCCTTGCATTGCATCCCCACTTATTCTTTTGTTTGTTGACAGATTAGCCAGAGTGCCTCAGATGATTAAAGGCATTGCTAAAGTTCTCACTGGTGCAGAAGATCTTCCAGGCTTTTTGAGGAGTCATTTTGTCAGACTTCTGAATAGCATAGACAGAAAAATGCTCCATTCTGATGATTTCTTGCTTCGTAAACAAGCATTAAACCGAATTGAGATGCTAATTAGAATGATGGGTTCTCATCTTAATACTTATGTGCCAAAACTGATGCTGCTTCTCTTGCATGCTATTGATAAAGAATCACTGCAAATGGACGGGCTATCTGTCTTGCATTTTTTCATAAAGCAATTGGCTAAAGTTTCACCATCGAGTATTAAGCATATTATTTCTCAAGTTTTTGCTTCTCTTCTTCCTTTCTTGGAAAGAGACAAAGAAAATCCCTCAATATATTTGGACAAAGTGGTAAAAATTTTAGAAGAACTTGTTTTTAAGAATAGGGTTATCCTAAAGCAGAATATATCTGAGTTCCCCCCGCTTCCCAGTATACCTGCTTTGGCGCAAGTGAACCATGCAATTGAGAATGCTCGTGGGACAATGGCTTTGAAGGATCAACTACGTGACGTGGTTGATGGCTTAAATCATGAGAACTTAAATGTGAGGTACATGGTAGCATCTGAGCTTCGCAAGCTTCTGAACTTGAGATGGAAGGATATTACAGATCTAGTCATAGCTGAAGCTGGTACAGACTTGGATGTTTTGAGCTCTCTGATCACATCCTTATTAAGAGGATGTGCAGAAGAATCGAGGACCACAGTTGGGCAGCGGTTGAAGTTGGTCTGTGCTGATTGTCTTGGGGCCCTTGGTGCTGCCGACCCTGCTAAGGTAAAAGGATTTTCATGTCAACGTTTCAAAATTCAATGCTCCGATGATGATCTCATATTTGAGCTGATCCACAAACATCTAGCTCGGGCATTTAGATCTGCACCTGATACTGTTATCCAAGACTCTGCCGCATTGGCTATACAGGAGTTGCTAAAGTTTGCTGGTTGTGAGGCGTCACTGGATGAGAATGCTTCAACTAAGATCAAGACTACCAATAGTGGTAATGAGATGAATAATAGGGGCCAGAAATTATGGGATAGGTTTTCTAATTATGTGAAAGAGATAATAGCCCCGTGTTTAACGTCTAGGTTTCAGCTTCCTAAAGTAGCCGACTCAACATCTGCTGGCCCTATTTACCGCCAATCTATGTCATTTAGAAGATGGATTTTCTACTGGATAAGAAAACTGACTGTGCATGCTACTGAATCTCGTGCAAGCATCTTTAATGCTTGTCGAGGTATTGTACGCCATGATATGCAAACAGCAATATATTTGCTTCCCTACTTGGTTCTTAATGTTGTATGTCATGGAACTCAGGAGGCACGCCACAGCATAACACAGGAAATCCTATCTGTTCTTGATGCAGTTGCATCAGAGAACAGTGGAGCTCCAGTTCATGGATTCAGTGGTGGTCAAAGTGAAGTTTGTATTCAATCTGTGTTCAATCTTCTTGATAATCTTGGACAATGGGTGGATGATGTTGAACAAGAACTTGCTCTTTCCCTTTCTCAATCATCTGTTTCTAAGCAACAAAAGTCAAAGGATCAAAGTCCAGTTTCCTTGACAGGTCAGGACCAACTCATTGTACAATGTAAATATGTTTCAGAGCTTCTATCCGCGATTCCAAAGGTGACTCTTGCTAGGGCTTCCTTAATATGTCAGGCTTATGCAAGGTCGTTGATGTACTTTGAGTCCCATGTAAGGGAAAAGTCTGGCACTTTCAACCCTGCTGCTGAGAGGAGTGGCATCTTCGAGGATGAAGATGTCTCACATCTTATGGAAATATACAGCTGTTTGGACGAGCCTGATGGACTATCTGGCTTGTCATGTTTAAGTAAATCTTTGAGGTTACAAGATCAGCTTTTAATGAACAAAAAGGCTGGTAATTGGGCCGATGTATTAACTTCTTGCGAACAAGCTTTGCAGATGGAACCAACCTCAGTTCAGAGGCATTCGGATGTCCTTAACTGCTTACTAAACATGTGCCACCTTCAGGCCATGGTCACTCATGTTGATGGTTTAGTGTCTAGGATTCCTCAGTACAAGAAAGCATGGTGTATGCAAGGTGTGCAGGCTGCCTGGAGACTTGGAAGGTGGGATTTGATGGATGAGTATCTTAATGGAGCTGAAGATGACAGTTTAGTTTGCAGTAGCTCGGAAAGTAATGCTTCATTTGATTTGAATGTCGCAAAGATTCTTCAAGCAATGATGAAGAGAGACCACTTCTCAGTTGCAGAGAAAATTGCTTTAACCAAGCAGTCACTAATTGCTTCCTTAGCTGCTGCAGGAATGGATTCTTATACGCGGGCCTACCCATTTGTTGTAAAACTTCACTTTCTGCGGGAGTTGGAGGACTTTCATTCTCTTCTGGGAGATGACTCTTTCTTAGAGAAATCGTTTCATTTAGATGATCCAGCTTTCTCTAAATTAGTGGACAACTGGGAGAATCGACTTAGAATTACACAATCATCACTCTGGGCTAGGGAGCCACTCTTGGCTTTCAGGAGATTGATTTTTGGTGCAAGTGGTCTTGGTGCTCAAGTTGGCAATTGCTGGCTTCAATATTCAAAACTATGTCGCTTGGCTGGTCATTATGAAACAGCCAACAGAGCAGTTTTAGAAGCCCAGGCGTCCGGTGCACCTAATGTCCACATGGAAAAAGCAAAACTCCTCTGGAGCACTCGGCGGTCTGATGGTGCCATTGCAGTGCTACAACAGTCTCTCTTGAACATGCCTGTTGAGGTGTTAGGCGCTGCTGCAATTTCATCTATTACAAGCCTTTCCCTTGTACCACTCAATCCGCCACTTATTGTTTGTGAAAGTCAAGCTCCAAATGAGAACAGAGACATTGCAAAGACCCTTCTTCTGTACTCAAGATGGACTCATTACACTGGGCAGAAACAGAAGGAAGATTTAATAAGTCTTTATACCAGGGTGAGGGAACTGCAGCCTCAATGGGAAGAAGGATACTTCTACATGGCTAAGTATTGTGATGAAGTGCTTGGTGATGCCAGGAAACGCCAAGAGGAGAATTCTGAACTTGGCCCTAGACGAGTTCCTTTGGCAACTGCTGTTGCTGGCTCTTCAAAATTAAATAATGAGAAGCGTTGGTGGTGTTATATTCCCGACGTTCTGTTATTCTATGCAAGAGGACTTCACAAAGGAAACAAGAACCTATTTCGGGCACTTCCAAGGTTATTAACCCTCTGGTTTGACTTTGGAAGCAAGTATCTAAGAAGTGGTTCGTCACAAAAGGATTTAGAGGATGTGCATAAGAAGGTGGGTATAGAACTTTTCTTCTCTCTCTGTTTTCTGTTTTCAATACATACATATATTTTGTTATTTTATTAAACGTAGACATTCTTTTCGTTCACTGCCGCTTACATTTATAGTAATTACTGTTTTGTCTTTTGCTATGGTAGGCACTGAGTGTTATGAGAGGCTGTTTGAGGGATTTACCACCATACCATTGGTTGACCGTGCTACCTCAGTTGGTTTCAAGAATTTGCCATCAAAATGCAGACGTTGTTCGAATAGTCAAAGATATCATTACCTCTGTTCTCATAGAGTATCCACAACAGGGCCTATGGATTATGGCTGCAGTTTCAAAATCTACCGTTCCTTCAAGGCGGGAAGCAGCAGCTGTAATCATACAAGCGGCGCGTAATGGTTTCAACTCAGGAAGTAATGCCAACAGTTTATTTGTTCAATTTGCTAGCCTGATTGACCATTTGATCAAGTTATGCTTCCATGCTGGTCAGTCAAGAGCAAAGACAATTAATCTCTCAACTGAATTTAGTGCTCTAAAGAGGATGATGCCCCTGGGAATTATAATGCCAATTCAACAATCTCTCACCGTAAATCTGCCAGCATATGATGGGAATCTGGGTGATTCACTTATGTCTAATATATTTTCTGCCACAGATCTTCCTACTATATCAGGCATTGCTGACGAGGCTGAAATTCTATCATCTCTTCAGCGACCTAAGAAAGTATGTTATTACTGAATTTCTCCCTTAATATCTCTGCGTAGTTTATCTGTGATTCTTGAGTCAGTAGTTAATTTTTGTTTATGTGCATGGTGTGGTGCAACATTTTTTTGGTTCCTACATAATTTAATATGAGTAAACACTGTAATTCACAAGACCCGATTACAATATTGTTATTGTTTATAATTAGGAACATTCTTTGGTTACGTACATTAGTAATTGGATGCGTAATCTCCAAATGCACATTTTTATCTTCAAGTTCTGAAGTTTCACGGAAGGATGAATATATCATCCTAGAGGAAAATCGATTCAATTAGAAACAATTATTATGGTAGTACAACATGAGAAGTAGACTTGACTCTACTGAGAAAATGTGGCTAGGCCTAGATGTACAAGCATTAATATGTTATGTGGTCTCTGAATAGAGATGACTGTTTGCATGTAAGAGCTGTGTGGATCAGGATGATGTGCCGTTATGTAACGTAAGCACCCAACTGTTAGAAAAAATATGTTCAGCTTTTGTAAGGCTTGCATTTCACATAAAATTTATGCGGACTTATGTTTTCAATCTCATTGCAAAGATCAAAGTGCCAACTCCAACGGTCAGACCATTCTGTACTTGATGGGGTGATTAATTTTTCTTATCTAATTATTTGGTTAAGAATTTGAGATGCTGGGCAGGTCTAAGGAATTCATCTTCAGTTGAACTTAACGGAGCGGAATACCACTGTTGTCTACTGTTCTGTATCATTCTATGTACCATCTTAATGAATGCCTTTGTATTTCAGATCATTCTACTGGGAAGTGACGGTCTTGAGCGCCCGTTCCTATGCAAACCCAAGGATGACCTCCGCAAAGATGCTCGCATGATGGAGTTCACAGCCATTTTTAATCGACTGCTATCCAAATATCCTGAAAGCCGTAGAAGGAAGCTATATATTCGCACATTTGCGGTGATTCCTCTGACAGAGGACTGTGGTCTGGTAGAGTGGGTACCCCACACTCGTGGGCTTCGACAAATTCTTCAAGACATATATATTACTTGTGGAAAGTTTGATCCGCGGAAAACAAACCCTCAAATTAAGCGAATTTATGATCAATGCCAAGGTAAAGTGCCGGAGGATGAGATGCTGAAGGATAAAATACTTCCAATGTTTCCTCCTGTTTTCCACAAATGGTTCTTGACAACATTTTCTGAGCCTGCTGCGTGGTTCAGGGCACGTGTTGCTTATGCTCACACGACTGCTGTTTGGTCCATGGTTGGGCATATTGTCGGACTGGGTGACCGGCACGGTGAAAACATTCTTTTTGATTCTACCACCGGTGATTGTGTTCACGTTGATTTCAGTTGCTTATTTGACAAAGGTTTGCAATTGGAGAAACCCGAGCTTGTACCTTTCAGGCTAACACAGGTAAGAGAAGGCCCATAATTGGAAAATATCTGCAAATCTGCCATATTTTATTTTACCTTTTCCTCTAAGGAGACATATATTTGAAATTATTTAATTTTATAAAGAGAAGAAAAATATGAAGATTTTGAATTATGATTATGTTTAATATATGATTGCAGAGATGACAGAAAAGTGCAAGAACTGACTGACATATATTTTTAATGGACTCCACGCTAATATCATTTATTTTATTTCTACAAGCAATGCAAATCATGCACCAGCACTCAATTGTTAAGATAACATTTTTTTATTACTTCATGCCGGTACGATTGCTGGGCTCTTGGTTCTCATTGATTTTGCATTAAAACCTACAGAACATGATTGATGGCTTAGGCATCACAGGATATGAGGGTATCTTCTTGAGGGTTTGCGAAATCACACTTTCTGTATTGAGGACACACAGGGAGACTCTCATGAGCGTGCTTGAAACTTTTATCCACGATCCTCTCGTGGAATGGACAAAAACTCAGAGGTCCAGCGGCGTAGAAGTTCAGAATCCACATGCACAGGTTTTGATATTTTGCTTTTAATCAGCTGCATACAAAAATTGTATTTTTTTTCCATTGGGGATACTATGACAACGAAGTTTTTTTTCTCAGAATGAGATCAACTACAAAGATCATAATAGTTTCATGAATAGTTTATATTAAAACAATTTAAAAAGTTTCAGTGTGTTGTTTATCTTATATTCCTTTAAGGACAATTATTTCCGTGGGCAATTCAAAATCTGCGAAAGACTGGGCAATTAAAATAATTGTTTAAATAATTTTATATGGAATTTATTTATCAGCGAGCCATTAGTAATATTGAGGCAAGATTAGAAGGAGTGGTTGTTGGTGTTGGAGCTGCACCTTCATTGCCTCTAGCTGTAGAAGGTCAAGCCCGTAGGCTAATTGCTGAAGCAGTCTCTCACAAGAATCTTGGAAAGATGTACATATGGTGGATGCCTTGGCTCTGAAGATTTGAATGGGCCGAGAAGATCTTCACATATTGATTCAGACAGGTATGATGTTATTAATTTCATTTCTATCTTCTGTGTAATCCCTGAATGTGATTTATGTTTTTTTTACATAGGAGAGATTCAGAGACACAAGCAGAAAGCTAAGAAAGGAATGGATTAAGCTGTTATCATTTTGATAAAAAGGAATCTTGGACTGTGGGAGCATTAGGAGCTGAATGCATAAAGCATTTAAGCAGAAATGTTGTCCTTGTCACAGGGTTGAACTAAGCGCGCGTTTGGAAAAATGGAGATTTACAGTGATGATGCAGCTGCTGAATGAAGCTCGATGCCACGTAGTTGCAGCTGTACATGCTCAATGGAAGCAAGTATTAGAGCTGGCATTATAATGTAATATTGTTTAGGGTAAAACTGTGAACATCTTTTTGTATATGAATCCTAGTTTGTGTTGGTAATTTATAGACTATGATCTGTGGATAGATATACATATCACATACATCCCATTGCATATCAATTTGTCGTAATGATATTTACATGCGTCATGTCATTTTCCTCTTTGGGGAACAAATAAAGGAAAATATATGATAACTTGCATGGAAACCAAAAAAGAGCTAAAACCCATACTTTGCTGGGACTTTATCAAAATTTCATGTCTTTTTTAACATCTAATTTGTTGAGAAAAGAAGTTAAGGATTGAGAAACTATGTGTTATGATCTGACCTGATCAGAAGGGGATCACGATATGGCCACGCGTTACTGGACGGCTACCTGTTCACCGGTGGTGAGGAGGAGGAGGGGGGTGTACCTGCAAGACACTCCGATGCCAAAGTAAGAAGTGGGGCGGAGTGGAAGCAATAGTACAGAGAAGGGCAAGAAGAGAGTTACCTGACCCTCTTGAGGAAGAGGGTATTTATAGAGAGACCCCAGCGCTGGGCCAACGGTCATTTGAGCTGGACTGGATGACCAGACCCAACCCTAATGACTGCTAGGGCTTACGTGGCGTAGTGAAGACCAGGACGTGGTCTTCGCCCTAGTCCAACCGCTCCTAGATCTCCGGAAAGTGGGTTTTGACCTGCTCTTTTGGAGGTGGGCAGTTGGTTGATGACGTGTCCCCGCAGAGGGGAGCACGTGGAGAACGTGCACCGGGCACGTTGTTCTCCCCACGGAGGAGAGCTCGGGAGGTACCCCGGAGCGTGTTGTTCTCCCCGCGGAGGGGAGGAACCACGACCGCGCTTTGGTGAGCCGGGGACGGTTTTGCTCGTCTGGTACGGTGGATGATGAAAGGTTGTTGGGGCGTTGCTTGTGTTCGGCGGCACGCCCTGCTCGTCTCGAGGGATGCACGTGCCCGGCGTGCCCGATTCGCCTGTTGGGCCGTACGTGGTATTGGGCCTGCCGAGGTTGGGCCCATACCGGAACAGGAGCCTCCCAAGTCGAAGCTCTGGGGAGAGAGCGAGGACTTAAGGTCGCTGCGTCTGGAACGGGCACTCGTGCGAAGATCTCCGATCGTCGGCAGAGCGGGGAGAAGGCAGGTGAAGGGGCGCGACTGTCAGGTTGCCGCCACGTGTCGTGCGTTAAGCGGTCGTAGGGGCGGCTACCCTATGTCATTAATGAGGCTAGGGTCGCTTCGAGTCCCGTGCCGGGTTATAAATATGGGGGTCCCCGCTCATTCTGCTACTTTTCACTCTGCCGTTGTGTCTGCTAAGCTTTGTCATCTCTGCTCGTCCGCCGCTTGCCGTCGATCGCCGCCGCACCGTTTGATCTTTCCTTCCGTCCGCCGCCGTTACAAGTGAGTTCTTCTTTTCCCTCCTTTTTTATTTCCGTCGTTTAATTGGAATGTGTGGTCGGGGCATGATGAATGCCCCGAGGAGGGACGCGAGCCCCGCCGTGTCTGGCGAACTTTCTGATGAGTGTCTCGGGGAGGATAGGCTGGTTCCGATGAATGTCCCGAGGACGGGGGCTTTCTCCGATGAATGCCCCGAGGACGGGGGGCTTTCTCCGATGAATGCCCCGGGGACACGTGCCTTTTCTGATGGCTGTCCCGAGGGGGATGGCGGGTCGGCCTCTGATTCCCCGAGGAGGGTAGACGGGGAGCGAGTGTTTGTTCGTCGCTTTCCGGCCTTTGTCGCCCTTTCACTTGACTTGCGGTGGAAGGGTGGATTTGATCCTGGCTATCGAATTCACCGTTGTCCTCTGCTTTCAGGTGTAGATGTCGGCTCTGGTACCGGGGATAATGGTCGAAGACAACGAACCCGAGATTCCGGAGTATGACGATGAGCGTATTGCCCCGTCCGAGGAATGGGCGGCCGAGGAGCCGCTTTCTACTCCTTGTTTTGTGGCCGACGCGTCCGACGTGTACGCCACGGTGGAGGACACGCCTATAGGAGAGCCACAACACTGGCAGGTGTACCGACCAAAAGAACATCACCGCATCTGCTCGCGATATGGGCGGCGGATGTTCCCGATGCATGAGTTCTACTTTAAAGAAGCTCGGCTCCGGTTACCGTTCTCCGCCTTTCATCTGGGGCTTTTTGACTGGCTGCGCCTTGCCCCGTCCCAACTGCACCCCAATGCCTTGGCTTTCATCCGAGCTTTCGAGGTGGTGTGTTTCTACCTCTCGGTGGAGCCGACGGTACCATTATTTTTCCGCATCTTCCACCTGCAGCGGCAGACGGTGAATGGCCGCCACTGATGGGTTTCTTTTAAGCAATCGACCAAACTTTTCAAAGCGTATAGCGATTCTGTCAAAGATTTCAAAAACCGGTTCTACCTCGTCAAGCCGATTACGCAGCACGGCTCAGACACTCTCTTCGACGAGGGCGAGCGAACGGTAGATGGCCAGCGATTCCGCTCGTGGCTTCCTAAGATACATCTACTGTGGACTGCGGAGCATTTCAGCCGAGGGACGGATAGGTATATCGTCCGAGCGGGGACCCTCGAGGAGAAGGACATGGCCGCCTATTTGAAAATAGTTGCCTTTGTGCGGTCTCTCCCTCCGTCGAAGCTGGTGACGCCCGACGGTCGGTATATCCTTGACGCACAGGGGAATGTGCGCACCAAGAAGCGTTTGATAAATACTAAGACCTTGCTCGGCTGTGCGACCGGGGCGGCCGCTCTGGATTACCTAGGTAGGAATGTTCGTTTTTCTCCCCGTGGTCGGGGTTTTTGACCGTCGCTAACTCTTTTCTTTGTTTTTGCAGCGAACATGTCTTCCGTCGAGGAGCGGGTGAAGCAGTTGCGTGCTACTAGGAATGCCGCGGCCCCGAGGACGAGGGTGAGCCAGCTGGTCGGACAGGAGGTCGCGACGCCGGGGGGGCAAAGTTCGTCCTCTTCGCCTCAAGAGAGCCAATCTCCTGCGTCTCAAGGAGCGTCGAAGAGGCAGAGGTCCGAGGAGCCCCGAGTGGTGGATCTGACGGTCGGTACCGCCGAGGAAGGTTATGTCGTCCCGCCCTGCCACCAGCATCCGGGATATTTTCATGGTGCCCGTTCTCCCACTGTCTCCGCTGGGGAGGTGAAGGCTGTCCGTCAGGCCGATCGAGAGACTCGTCGACGTGTTCTGGCTGAGGACTTGGCCGCAATGATGCGGACGTTCACGACGGCTCTTGTGCTGAACGAGGAGGGCTGCTCCGCTGCTGAGCTGTCCAAACTGCAGGGGGATCTTACTTTCACGCAGTCGCGGTTGGCCAAGCTCACTGAGGAGTTGGAGAAGAGCCAGAAGGATGTTGCTGAGCAGCGGAAACGGGCAGAGGGTGCTGAGGGGAAGGTGACTTCGCTGGAGGAGAAAATGGGGACAGCGACGGCCGAGGTGCAGGCGCTGAAGGTTCGCACGGAAGTTTTAGACAGCGCGGTCCGTCCGGCCGAGGACGAGACAGACGGAGATCGACGGTTAATCACCCGTGCTGACCTGATCGCTCGTATCCGGGTGTTGGAAAGCGACTGTCTGGAGGCTGTTGAGGTCGGGTTCAAGAGTGCTGTCGAGCAGGTTCAGGTCGCCAATCCTGGTGTCGTGCTGGCTGTGGACGGGATCGGGCCGTACCACGAGATTGTTGACGGGAAGGTGGTCGATCCCTATCTTGTTATCCCCGAGGAGGAACCCGCGACTGCTGACCGGGCGGACGAGGAAGCATAGGTTGCCGGGCCTGCGTGCTCGTTGTTTTTATGGCCTGCGTGCCGATGTTTGTGATCTCTTTCTTTGGGCCTGCGTGCTCTGTATTTGTACCATTGACTACTGGGCTGGTGCCCGCTTTTGTTTAATATATTTTTCGTGGATTTTCTAAGTGTGCGCTCGTTATTTGCATGTTGTTTATGCTCGTTTTTCGTGTTTGTTTATTTGAATGCTTTTGAATGCCTCTGACGTGTATAACATTTCTTGTAAATTTTCTAAGTGTGCGCTCGGTGTGTTTGGGTGTTAGCTCGACAATTTGTTACCGGTAGTGCAGGGAACTGGCCGGTTTGGCCGGCGATGTAGCCGGGCCGCTTCGGGGGTAGTTCTCCCCGGGGCGTGGACGTCCCATCGCGAGCTGGGTGTCCTGCCTCTTTTGGTACGACGACGAGGAGTCTCGGTCGAGGTATTCCCTGCCGAGCAAGGCCTTCTGCCCGCGCACACGAGAGGCAGGGCTTGCTTTTCTTTGGTCGCTAGTGGACGCGGGGGTGTGCGGTGGTACCATGTCGCCCCCCCAGTGGTCGGGACGATGGGTCGTCGCGGGCAATGTTTTAACTGTAGTACCGCTTAAGTTTCGCGGCGTTCCATGGTCGAGCTAGTTGTTCACCGTGCAGGTTTTCGAGGTAATAGGCCCCGTGCTCCGTTTTGTCCCGGACTCGGTACGGGCCTTCCCAGTTCGCAGCCAGTTTGCCCTCGTGGGAGTCTTTCTGGTTTCTGCGTAGAACTAAGTCGCCTGTTTGAAAATCGCGTTTTATGACTTTGTTGTTATGGCGAAGTGTGACTTGTTGCTTCAACCGGGCTTCACGGAGGGCTGCCCCTGAGCGGATTTCTTCGACGAGGT